CCCGGGGCTTGCTCCCAAGAATAGAAGAATGCATCAACCTTGCTAGACCAATTATCATAAAAGTAAGATAAATAGCATAGACCTACAACCATTGAGGCTTTAGCAAAAGTGTTCAGTGTGATCAAGGTAGGGCGGATATTGAATTGCCTACAAATCCATTGGAAAGTTTTTGATAAGAAACTACAATCATGACGGTCCTCCAACTTGCCGAAAAAGTTTGCTTTCATCTGCCACGGTCCTCACAGTTTGACCAGACAAGGTCCAACTCAACATCATTCTCCCATACCAGTTAGTGGATAGAACGAACAATATTGAGGTATTCGTTGGCACCCCATTGATGAGTGACACAATAGGTGTAGGCTTGGTTATCCACTTGATATAGAAGTTTATGTTCTTATATTATTGATAACACATGAACTAACAGAGCCAGTGACACAACATGAATATTGAACAACTCTTGAGTAATACAAGATTGTTAGAGGTATGGGGCGACTGCCTTCTTCAAAATATGAACCCACCTCACCGGGTACCTAAGTCCTTAAGGAGACCTAGGCAGGACCACCCCGGCCTACTCCCATATTGTAGAGTTATATACAATTCAGTTTGGGTGACATTACCATCCTGGGCAGGGCGTCCCCCACCAAAGGTGGGCCGTCCCAGAACGGGGACGGGAACAGGAGCGGGAACGGATCAGAGTCCGTTCCCGTCCTTCAGCCAGCAGGTCTAGGAATGTCTAAGGGATGGCCCGTTTCTTGGCTGGAATGGACTCGGGACGGATCTAGAATGGTGTGCAGCCATCCCAATTCCATTTCAGCACAGTGCGGCCTACCTAAGAGTCTGTTCTTGTACTACCCATGGTATTCTAGAGTCTATTCTAGGCCGGTCCAAAGTTTCTTTCAGGCCATTCAAGAGGTTGTTCTAGGTTGTGCTAGAGCCCGTTCTAGGGTCCGTCCCACAATATCTAATAACATCAAATTCATGTGTGTATTAATGAGAATGCGGCGATCAGATTTGGCATGTGGGGCGCCCGCCCCACAGTCCACAAATGTAGTGCCCTTGCCCTCGTGGTGTTGTTCACAACACCGCATAATGACCACCGTTTCACTAGGTGGATCACTTATGCGTAATGGTGTGCAACTTGTATGCACTTCGAGAATATAGTTTACAAAGCATTCTAGTTGGTTGATGATGGATGATGATCCTTGCCACATAAAAAGGAAAGTTCTGTAGGTGCAAGGTAATTTGAACGGTTCAGTTGCGGGGGTCGTTGCCACTGTCGGCGAGGCCCTTCGTTGTGGGAAGGGTGAACAAATATGTAAGCCCTGGGCATGTTGTGTGTGGTGGGACCTTGCGTCTGGCCGTGTACCAAGGCCGTTGAATCATCGGCGATCGTGGATTCGCGCTTCCCGTGTGCACTCCAAAGGGGGCCGTTTGAGTTGCATCGACGGCATTTCCTTCAAGATGGTTTCGGAGCGTCGAGGCAGGTCCTAGGGCAAGACGACGGTGGAAAAAGTGCAGGCAAGTGCCCAAGAGGTTTTTGGGACAGTTCGCACGTTCATCGGCTCGGCATTCGGTCAGGAATCGGCCAGAGTGTTGCACGGGTGGAGTTGCAAATTTTGCAATTGAGCAAGATCAACGGCTGGCGAAGTGCGATCGAGGTCTGCGAGGCAGCGGCGGATAGCGCAGCAAGGTCCTTAGAGCAGCTCGAGGCTGTTTGGATGGGGATTGACCCGTCGTTCGGTGGCCGTCGCCCAATTCGGCGAATGGGCGCAAGTGTGAATCCCAGATTTTGACCACATCGGCTGCTTGCAAACGACGTCCGAGTGGTGCGCGATAGTGGCGAATGGGCGGCCAGACTTCTGTGAGCAACGGGGAGCGCTTTGCAAGCGTTTTGTGGATATGGCAAGTGTGGGTCGGTGGGTCGGCGCTGGCTCAACATTTTGCAGTCAGGTGGTGTTTGGTGAGGCGTGGACTTTGGCGAAGGAATGCGCAACGGATGGCCGGCCAAGGAAGCTTGCAACATGGTGCAGAGTTCTGCACGAGCCTCCCAAGACATGGCTATGGCAGACGCTTCGAGCGAGGGCAGTGCCGGGAGCTTGAGGGGGGCCAAAGCGGCGGGTGGTCACAGGGGCGGAGCCGCTGTGGCTCGGAGTTCTCGCCCACTGATTGGGCCCATCAGTTACCGGAGGTCGGGCCACAAGGGGTGGAGGTACAGCTGCTGGAGCTACACTTGCATGCAAGGATGCAAAGATTTCAATCTATGTGCTGATGTCTCTTTCCAGCCATGGAGAGAATCTGCTTTAGTAAGCCGGAGGAACAGGTTGGGATGTTTCTTTCCCCAACATGAGGTTGTGCTGGTGAATTGCACAGCCAACCTATCCTTTGGTGTTGTATTCCTTCAAAAATGGGGTGCCAGCTCGTTGGAGAGAAAACCTACCAAGTCCATTGCGTGCGGCGGTGGGTATGGGCCCATTGTCGATTCGGCGTTAATGGGGGAGGTGCTGGGTGATAGCAGCAGAAATAGTAACAAGGGCCCACCAAAATTCGGAGTGTCTCGCAGATGGAAACGTGGGAGAGCCCATGTTCGCAACACCACATAATGACCACCGTTTCACTAGGTGGATCACTTATGCGTAATGGTGTGCAACTTGTATGCACTTCGAGAATATAGTTTACAAGGCATTCTGGCTGGTTGATGATGGATGATGATCCTTGCCACATGAAAAGGAAAGTTCTGTAGGTGCAAGGTAATTTGAACAGTTCAATTGCGGGGATCATTGCCACCGTCGGCGAGGCCCTTCGTTGTGGGAAGGGTGAACAAATACGTAAGCCCTGGGCGTGTTGTGTGTGGTGGGACCTTGCGTCTGGCCGTGTACCAAGGCCGTTGAATCATCGGCGATCGTGGATTCGCGCTTCCCGTGTGCACTCCAAAGGGGGCCGTTTGAGTTGCATCGACGGCATTTCCTTCAAGACCGTTTAAATTCCACTGCTGCCGATTTGAATCCTCGGCACAGCCCACCCAGCGTCGTTATTGGTGGAAACATATTAACAAGATAATTAATTGCGTAACAATGGGAGACTGTTTGATGATTAATCAAGTATCACATGTACTAAGAACATAGCATTCCGCATCTTTATCAAAATAGTGGCAGGTGGACTACTCATGCTATTGGCTGGCAATAGGTGCCTACCTCATGCACTGTGTACGCTGCATGGCATAGCCCGAATAGGCCATTATTACTGTCGGGAAAAGATGACGAAAGGTAAAAGCAGTCAGAGTATGGGCCGTGGACCAATGGCTGCATGACCGTGCGCCCAAGTAAGGGCTCCCCAGCCCTGATCTTCGATCATTCGAACCGCAAAATCGACTGCATTAAATGGCTTCATGTGCACCCATCCCATCGCGTACAGTGCACCCATACACCCACAAGGGCTGCCATTCAACACCAGCGTTTGCTTCTGAACTGGTCAATGTTTCCAGTCTCTCACCAGCCTGAAGAATGGCTGTACTATGCCTAGGGCAAGACTTGGCTGTGAGACACCCCAGGATGGTGTGCAAACAGTCTGGCAGCCAAATGGTTTACAACCAACACTTACGTTTGCCTATCGAAGGAATGCAACAAACGGTCGACTACACATAACGCTCCAAAAAGAAATTGTATCTTTTCCATCCGCCAAGTGTTAACCACGTTTTGACACCTGGCAATTCTTTGTGCGTGATTGAAGGGGGCGAATATGGCTAATCTGCGAATGTTGTAAATAAAAAGGCTGGTACGAACGATGCACAATCAGTTTATCAACCCCGTTCCTTAATGCTCACTCGTTTCTCACTGGGATCGTACGGTGCACAAGTTTGTGAATTACTCAGCATGTACGTCACCCTAGCCAGCATGTCAGCATCTCCATCATTCGTCCGGTCATCTCCCCGGGGAGCAGCAGTCGATTCTGGATCCGCCAGAGCTCTCCATGATAATTTCCGTTCTTCGGTCAAGGTTTTGCCGGTGAACATCCAGTTGAACAGCTTTGACGCGTATTGATTGGATCAACTTTCAACAAGCTCCGTGAGACGCAGATTCTGCCTATTCAGTGAATCGAGTTGGAGTCCCAACATGGGAAGTGAATTGCATAGCCTCAGTCTCTATCTTCAAAAAGTACAGATTCTATTTTCTTTCCTTCTTTCGCACTTATGTCCATTGGTATATACCAACAAAAGGAAGTGTGAAAGAAAAAAAATGCTCTTGCCAATCGTGTCTTACTCGGATCATTCCACACAGTGATCCAAGTCTTGCCATGGAGACTCTCGCTGGCAGAGTCACAAGTGAATCACCTGGTCGTCGAACGAAAAAGATTATGCAGTTTTCTTGGTTATTATTCTGCGAAATCGTGGTGATTCGAGTTCAATCAAATTCTTGTGCCAGTGTGCGACCGGCTGCTGTGTTGAAAACCCACATGTGCTTGTGACATTTTGGTGCGTATTGCCCTGATCCACTGCAATTCAATGGCCAATGAGGGGCAAACGTCCGTTGTCCTTGTCAGACGTCGCCCCCTTGTCGCCTGTCCCTATTTCTGGCGCTCCTTGCCCGTTTGACAATCCGTTGACCCCCTGGCTCTGTGGCCACCGCCGCCTCTGCTGGCGACCGCTGGCGAGCGGTGCCTGCTGTCGTGTGAGTCACGCCGCGCTGGCCGGGGCGAAGCGGCCTTACAGCAGCGTGACAGACGACCGCGTTTGGGCGCGTAACATCGGCCTCGATCGGTGCTGGTGACATGACAAGTCGCACACGGTCCACCCCAAATTACCAAAGGTCTCACGCCGCCGCGGTCACCGCGGCCCAGCATCGGACACGCCAGCGGAAAGGCCGCCCAACCGAGCCTTCGTAATGGCCCCACCCCTGTCGTAATAACTCACCCCAGGAACCTTCACATTCGAGCGCCCTTGCGGCCCCAACCCTCAAAGCACGACCGGCGGCGCCTCGTTGCTGCGGCGCTCCGAACGGTGCGCCATGTTCGCGGATGACGCCTCGCGGGGGGACGGCGGGAGGGCGTCCGCGCAGCGATCCAAGCCGGATGGCAGGCGTGGCCATACCCGGCCATGCCCCGGGGCAGGGACGGCGCTGGACATTCCCCTCGAGCTGCTGCCGCACATCTTTGAGCTCCTGCCCTTCGCGGATCAGCGGCGTGCCGCGCTGGTGTGTCGCCGGTGGTGGGCGTGCCTGAGCCACGGGACGTCCGGAGCGCTCTGGGAGGACGTCGGTATCGATTTTCCGTCGGAGGTGGGATGCAGGCGGCTGAACGTGCACGGCGTGGTGGCCTGGCTGCGCGGGAAGCCAATCAGATGCCTGCGCCTGAAGAACAGCTACAAGGTGCGAGGAGGGTGCGCCCCGAAGCGTCGGTCGGAGTTTCTGCGGAGCAATTCGCCACCAAAAGCGAGAAAGGACGTCTGGGTCAAAGATTGTTTGGGGCGCGCCTGGTGCTTGAATTCGTCCTGCGCACGCGCGGCCCATGGCCGGAGATCCGTCAACGCCTAGGCAACGGTGTCTACCGTGTCTCCATGCAACTTGTGTGTGCGCTCCGGAGATCGCGATGCGGATTCTTGGACAATCGACCGCCCCGCCCCGGTGACATCAGCGTCCCTGTGAACTTGCGTTGCGGTGCCTGCAACGCTGGGCTGCCCCACGGCAGGCTCCTCGCGTTTGATAGACGGCGCTGGGCTGGTGCGGCTCTGGCGCACGGAGGCCTATGCCGCGCTCTTGAAGCAAGCGCTGTGCATGTGCTCATTCATTTGTAATCCTCTGATCCGGAGCTGGTGAGTCGCAGCATCGCGGAAGCGGCAGCGTGTGTTTGCTGCCGTGCTTTGTTTGTTTTTGAGGGCAGCGCATCAAAAACCTCACACCATCCGCTGGGAGAGAAGTTATCATTGCACTGATCGCGTACATATGCGTTCGTGCGCAGGGCGATGTGAGGGAGAGATAAACAAACGGCCAGGGCGAGTTCGCTGAAAAGCATGCATGCAAACACAAGCGTTTGGCTCACAGACACAATGTGTTCGTGCAGACCCCAATTTGCTAGCGTATGGTGTGAAATGTGACATACAGCCTGAATAGGAATGAAACTGTCCAGTGTCGTATCCAACGTCCCCCGAATCCAGGCTGGCAAAAGTGCACCATAACCTCACAGGAAATAGAGCTTTGCGTCATTTCGTTATTTTTTAGTTTAATGGTGAAGCAACGATACATATTACCAAATGCAAGTGTTGCCAGAGCCAGCCGGATTCATGGATTCTATGCTCGATTTGGACTCTGAACTGTGGACCCCTCAATTGATGCAAAGTGCAGGATTGAAATTGTGCCCCAAAACGGGACCGTTCTGGGCGCTGTGTGAAAGGGAACTGCCAGTGGTTGCGATCTCCGCTGTTGATCCGAATGAAGATTGCTGCAGCAACTTGTCTGGCGTGACGCCGATGCATGGATGCGCCTGTTGTCGTCGTGGGCATTGCTTCGATGCGCGCCGGTTCGAGCCCATTGTTCCCAACATCCGTGAACACAACACCACGCAAGTCCCACTGTCTGCTCTTTCTGTGCGCCCTCCAGGTGAGGGCACGAGACGTCGCGCCCACTTCCATGCCTGTGGCCGTTGGCACCCTCCACAGCACTCTGGAGGAATTGCACGTGCTCCACTGCAGCAACATCCTCGGCGTCAGGAGTCTGCAGGCCTTGGGTGACGTCCTCGTCAAGCTCAAAGTCCTGGTGGTCACTGGCATAAGGGCATCTCTGCGACTGGGCCTTTCTGATTTCGGGCCTTTGTCGCACCTCCCCCTGCTGGAGCACTTGGAGTTGAGTGTTGCAGACCGGACGGACAACTGGGGTTTCATGACCTTGCCAGACAGCTGGCAGATGCTGGCCAGCACACTGAAGCATCTGAAGCTCAAGAGCCACGACGGCTTGACCCAGGAAGGCGCGCAAGTGGTGACGACCCTCACCAGGCTGGAAGTTCTGTGCATGGAGGACTGCGGCCTTTCGGGGCTACCGACAGGGTTTGGCGCCCTCTCTGGGTTGAGGTGCCTGACACTGAACGCCAGCAGCATCACAAAGGACAAGTTGCAGGCGATTACGCAGTTGTCACATCTCCGGGAGCTGCATCTACGGGGCTGTTCTGTGCTGCGGCAGGTGCCCACCGGCATCGATCACCTGACCTCGCTGATGGTGCTGACGCTAGGGGGCAGCATCAGCCAGTTTGGGCTGTATTGGGGCGACCTCGCCAGCCTGACACTGCTCCGAGTGCTTGATCTGGACGCCTGTGGCATTGGTGCTGTCCCAAAGGCAGTGTGCGCGCTGCAGTCGCTGCAGCTGCTGTCCCTGGGTCGCAATCGACTGGAGGCAGCTTCTCTGGACAACTTGGCACCCCTCTCCAACCTGCAGTTCCTGTGCCTGCGAGACTGCAGCTTGACAGAGATACCAGGTGTGTTGATGCACTTAAAGCTAGTGAAGATGGTGGACCTCTCAAACAACTCGCAATTGAGGATTCCCACTCCTGTCACTTGGCTGGCATCTCTCCACCACCTATTGCGGATCGATCTGCGGAAGTCCGCAGATGCACCTGAAGACACAGCGTGGGATTCACTGTCCATCAGCCATTTGATTGGCTTGGTGGCGATGCTGGTCACCATGCGGGGCAGCACCACGAGAAGCATCGTGCAAATAATCTGACTGCTGCAGTTCTGGCCACCTGTCGCCTGGGAACACACCAAAGCTGGAGTAGCAGGAGGCAGGTGGGCACTCAAGGCTGTAGCACATGCCAGCAGGGGGCCTTGTGAACCGGGAAAACGAGTTCGAAAGGCGTCGGAGTTGTTTGAAAGGCCATGGTTTACTGACTGTGTTTGCAAACCTAGAATGTGACAAATAGGGCTGCTCCATCAGAGACCCGGAACACTGCAAGACTTGCAATCAGCTGTAAAAGGACAATTCTCATAGAGGAAATCCATGAATCGATTTTCACACTGTGCATGGCATGTGAATGTTCAAAGTTGTGCATGCGAGCAACGATGACGCAACTCCACGATGCAGTCCTCAGCCCTTGATTCATGCCTACCCCAGTAATTGTGGGCCACGATGCGATGCACAAGCAACTGCTGTAAGGGCCAGTATGCAAGATTGGCTTGACGTGTCTTGAAGCATTGTCTTGAAGCAAACTTAACACCTGACGCTACTCTTTGGGGGGCCCAATAAAGTAAAGTCCTTTCATGAGTTTGGCCCTCCTCATCTCGAATAGCTGCACAGGCACAGGCTGGAAGTCTTCACAAAGTCATTCTCCTGTAACCACCATCCTGCCTTGCCCTTCATGCCCAGGCAAACAGCAGCCCCGCTTGATAGCATGCACTCCAATGTGGGCTCAATATAGGCTGCACGTCTTTGGGGGCTCGTCACCTTTGACAATGGGTCAGCATAGAGTCAAATGGAGCAGCTCGTACGCGCAGCCCTCCTCCTGTGGCAGCGTCTCTGTTCCTCGTGCACTTGTGGTGCCTTCTCAGTACACAAACGGGAAGAACTTCCTTGCGCCAGATCTGTATTTTTCGTACTCTGGAAACCTTTCTATCAGCCTGGCCTCCTCGAATTCCACCTTCTTTTCCATGGCCCACCACAAAACCAGGGTGAGCAGAAAGCGAGCCTCGCTGTGCGAGATCGCGCTGATGCCGATGCAGGCCAGCAGCAGCCCACCGTACATTGGGTGCCGAACGTATTGGTACATTCCGTCCGTGACTATGCCTTTCGAGCTTGGTCTGGGGTACGGGAATGGAGATATATTCCTTCCTAAACTCAACACCTGCACCAAGGGAACCAAACAAGTGGCCTCAGCCTCGCGGCGTTAGGTGGGGACCTCAAGTTCAGCGGGGAGCCTTGCAACACTGTGCTGCAAAACTTGCAACAGATCCAAGGATGCGGTGGCTCGGTTCCGACGCGGTGTGTCGCAAGCTTCCAGAAAGATGTTCCCGACGTTGAGCGAGCGGCGCTGCTGAGATCCGCGCCGCTTTAGCGCCACGGCCAATCCTCAATCTGGCGTGCCTGTGGGACATGCTAGCTCCGTTTCGAGCTTTGCTCTTCCCAAAAGCCACCAGCATGCGGGCGACGACCGCGCGCAGCAGTCTCGTCACAACGGAGACCTCCCACGTGCCGCGCTGCCCATGCTCGCGCAACACGGCCCCAACCTCCCCTGGCCATGCCCCACGCACCGACGACAAGGTGAAGACAAGCCCGGTGGCCACCGCCAGCACGCCCACGGCGTCCAGCATCCCCTTCAGGCTGACCGGCGGGAAGAGGATCAGCATCACCGCGATGACCTGCGCCAAGAACCAGCCCTCCCCCCTCTTCCCCATAAACGTCACGTCCTTCATCTCCTCCCACAGGGTGCGCAGCGCGAATGGCCCCTCGTCTTCTGAGACCGTATCTCGACCTGCGATGCCCGCCTGCTCGGGCGACCCTGCATCGGGATCCTGGGGGGGCTCCTGCAGGTCGACGCTGCCGGGGCCCGGAGATTCGGTGGACTCAGTGGAGGTGTGCCGACGGAAGAATCGGATGATGGGCGGCACGGCGCCCGTGAGGCCAGGCAGGCCGGTGCGCGAACGGTCGGCGCGGATCCAGCCGCCGCGGGTGAAGGAGGTGCCGAAGGGGCGCAGCGAGGCCGCCGGCCCGCGGGCGGGAGCCGGGGCGCGGCCCCAGGCGACGGCACCCCACATGGCGCACCCCCCCGTGCGAGAGCGGGGCGCAGGGAGGCACTTTTTGAAGCCAATGTGGCGTTTTCTCCGCACACCTTTTTCATTTTGTTTGCCAAAGCGCGAAATTGTGCTGTTGAAACCAGAACCGATTGAGTACACTAACAATAGCCGGACGCACAAAAAGGTGATGAGACAACAGGAACTGAATTAGGGACACTGATGACGGACAGGGTATGCCAGGGACAGAATTCTTGTTGTCCCTTTGCTCCGCTGTAAATCGTTGCTGCGTTCTCGCGCATACGGTCCCCAGCGAGGGACCGATACCCCCAGCCCTGCCACTGCAGATCAGACTGGAGGGGCGTGTTCAATCATCTGTCCAAGAGTGTCCAGACCAACTTCAAGATGCACAATTCGAGAATGCACATGGTCCACAACGCTATAATAGGTCCCACGAGTAGCGACTGCATGTCTTTGTGCATCACCCCAACGAAGGAGCAGCGATCGGAGCGACATGGCCAGGATGGGATGGGCCTCCTGCCCAACCATCGTCTTCCCTTGCAAAGCTCTTCCACAAGCTAAACCTGCCTTCATAAAAGTTTTACCAAAACTGTCCCATCACTGCCGCCTGCAGAATACACAAGGCACTGCAATATCCCAGTCAACACAATTTTCTTTCTCAAAATTGGAAGCAATGACTGACGGAAGCACAAGCCATCACACACCCAAGCTGTCAACTCTAATATACATTTCTCTACAGCCTGCAATTTCCATTACATCAACCCAAGCTGTTCTTCTTGATGTGCATCCTTAAACTGGCTCTCCTGGCCATCCATGCCCACCGCCCCGTCAACCTCCGCAGCTTCCCCTTGCTCTTGCGATCCCTCCAAAGCCTGCTGCCTCTTTCGCCTCTTTGACTTCTTGTTTTCTGAGGCCAGGACAGACAGGAAGCCAATAGCTGCCTTGAAGCCCTCCCGAACCGCCCACAGCCCAACGGGCGCAGCAACCTTCAGGGCGTTGGTGCCTGCACAGATGAGATCCAACTGGGCAACTGTTTCTTCACTTGTTTGTAATCGTTGCAAAAGCACAGTGCTTCCTGCTCACCTACATTTTGGGTGATGAAAGGCACTCGTGAATAATGGATTCACTGCAGCTAATCCAGGAGCCAGTGCGTACTCCGCTGCGGAGATGAGCACAATGCAGGAGCTGAAGAGCTTTTTGCAAGCTCACTTTTAAGGATAGCACTGGTACAACAGGCATTATTATCTGAACTTGCTTCTGCGCTGGTGGTGGTGTTTCAACATCAGCTGACCGGGCTGGACGTTTTGTTCCTGAAACGGCAGGCAAACGATAATATGGTTAGAGAATTCTGGTTTCAGTGCCAAAACCAGGACCTTCTATTGGACACACCTGCAGTGAGTGTCAATGATGCCGCTCCTCTGACACCAGCTGCAGTCACTGCTGCAACAGGACTCCGACTGGCTCGCCACAAGGCTAGGGTTGCCTGGTTTGGGTTTCTTTCCATCTCGTCCAAGGTTTCATCAGCCCTGACCAGATGTGGCACAGAATGTCTTAACCGTGAGACACAGCATTCCCGCGTGTACAACACCTTGGAGTGCCTCACCCTGGCATGAGCAGACGCGCTCACTTGGGGAATAAACATGTGCCTTGTTTGTGCAGGTCGCTGGCATCGCCTGAAAGATACAAGGGCATCCTATTGATATGCACTGGTGAACTCTGATCAAAGGTTCAAAAATACCAGAAAGGGGTGCATGCACAGTGCCTGCACCGTGGCACAACCTTCAATAGAAAGTGGACAGATCTTTGTGCTGCCACATAACACGGTTCAAGTGAAACTTCTTGCTGCCTAAAATTCCAACAGAACACAACCCTTGCAGGTTGGTAGGCGATGTAGTTTTGTTTGCTGCGCATGCGCAAAGAGGCCAGTGAGCTGCACAATTCAACCCGTTCATCAGCTGCAGCACTGGAATCGTTGCCATTTCATTCTCGTGCGTATTTACAGGCAGCAATTTTGTAACATGAACAGACAGAAACTTCTGGACTTCTGGACTTGCAAAGGGGGAGTAAAGGCAACTGTGTGCACCTTGATAGCGCCCATTCCAACGGAGTTCCATCAAATTCCTCCAGGGATTGGGACTTCATCGAACGAGTAGGCACAGGCTCAGGCTCAGTCGACTCGCTGGAGAGTGCCCTCTGCTGATGGAAACCACATCATTGAGCTAATGATCCTCGAAGAATAGTCACCTAAAATATCGTCCATTGGAGATCCCCCTGGTCTGCCCCGACGTTAAACAAATACACTTTGGACATCATGATTCACACCTGTTCATGGTGCAGGAGTCACGAGACAACAACCATTGTCTGAGTGTGTGTGTTTGAGTCTGCGATGTCTAAACTGAAGGCACTGCAGGCCGCTGGCGTGGCAAGAGAACGAAGCCAAGAGCAGGCGAGCCCCAAGTTGGGGTGCTAGTCTCACCAATTCTAAGCTCCTCATTTCGTAAAGGTACGCCGGAGAGTGGATGACTTGGATTGGTTGAGGCATCGGCTGCAGGGGCTTCCGTGGAGGGATCTTAATCAGAAACGGATTTTCTCGCATTGGGCTATCTGCGATCGCAGTCCAAACAGTACCTTGAGCTTCTGATCAGCGAATCTGCTGCGACAAGCACACACTGCAGTGGGCACAAGGAAAATTCGTCGGCAAAAGCGAATCGCCCGTCGCTCGGAGCTGTCAATGCTTGACAATGCAGATCAGCCCATGCCCACGGATCTCCACACGCCCAGGCCGCCGAACTGCAAGCCACCGCGATTGAGCGTTTCTCAGGGCGTCGCGCAGTCCATGAACTGTGTCCGGAGCCCTCAAAAATTATCCCCAAGCGAAGCGAAGCCAGTGCAAATACCTTGGGCGGCAGAAGCGCAGCTCCGCACACATTTGCGCGCCTGCTGCCGATCGGGGAGCGACGGGGCGTGGCTGCTGGGCGCCAGCTGGCCCGCCGAGAGGAGGGCAAAAGCCATCTTCCTGTTCCGCGGTGCGAGGCACGACGGCCGCGGGAGCGAAGCGCGGCCCGGTGCTCGCAGCCGGAGGCCCAGGAGGAACCGAGCGGGGCGCGTGCAGCGATGACGGGATCCCGCCACCGCGACGGCCATCAATGCGAGGGGTGTCTAGTGCACATTTCCTGCAAGTGAACCCGAGAGGGGTGTCTAGTGCACATTTCCTGCAAGTGAACCCGATGGGCGCCAAGGGGTGGCGCCCATCGGGCGCCACCCCACACGCGACGCGACCCTTCCCGTCATCTGATTGGCCCAAACCTGCCAGGTCACACGCGACGCGCGACCCTACACGCGACCCTAAACGCGACCCTACACGCGACTCCGTTGACTAACAGAAGGCCAGGCGCCAAGCGAGCTGCGAGGCGCAGGCCCTTGGCTCTCGACACGGCCGCAGGAGCTCCAGCGACGCGCCTGCACGGCCTTCCCCATCCTCCAGTCGCAGCCCGACTCGCTGGACGGCTGGCCGTCGCCGCAGGAAGAAAGGCAGGTGGGCGAATGGGGAACGGCGCAGCGAGG